CGCCACTAAAGAGACTTGCAGCTTTTGGCGCCTCTGCTGCGCTGCTAGTAGTGGCCCCCATACCCGAAAATAGGCTGTTGGATTGACCCTTCGAGGCTTCGCCCGCCGTAGCCCCTGCCGCGGGTTTGTTTGTACTTCCGAAAAGTGACGGGGTTTGTCCCGCCGCCGGCGCCGGTGCGGCCGTGCTAGGTGTCTGACCCGTGCTTGTAGAGCCAAAGAGCGACGTAGAGCTAGTCTGCGGCGCGGAAGTATTATTAGCACCCCCGAGCGATGGACTGCTGGTAGTAGCCGTGGAAGTACCAGCCGTATTGGCTGGCTTTGTACCAAACACCGAGGCGGCGCTAGATGAAGGCTCGGCAGGGTTAGTGGCTCCAAATAAGTTTGTTGATGGTTTTGAAGGTTGGCTACCAGCAGTGGAAAACAGTGACGGGGCGCTTGACGTTGTTGCCGCGGCCGGTTGGCTCGTCGTAGGATTGGACTGTGAGCCAGCCGGAGTGCCAAACAAGGTAGCTGCTGGTTTCTGAGCGCCTCCACCACCGAAAATATTCAACCCGCCAGATGGCTTCGCGGCGTCTGAAGGCGGAGCGCCCGCTGGTGTGGTTGAATTGAGAGCAAGGGTAGGTTTTGCAGGTGTCGCTTGTGCACCAGAAGACGGGGCCGCGCTACCGAGGGTATTGTTGGAAGCACCACCACCAAATACAGAGCCACCGGAAGAAGCACCGGCCCCGCCAAAAAGGGAGCCAGATGTTCCAGATGAACTTGTTGTGGTCTTATTATTCTGGGCACCGAACATTCCACCGCCGGAGAGACCACTTGTGGTAGTGGGGGTCGTGCTCGCTGCAGTTGTGCTCGGGGTCGAGGTTGCCGCACCGAATATACTGGGGGTGGAGGTCGTTCCTGATGAAGGTGCCGCTTCTGGTGTGCTTCCAAATATGTTGTTTGGTGTGCCGGCCTGTGATGCTCCTCCGAAAGGAGTACTGCCGGTCCCGCCCAACGATGTCATTGATGGAGAGGCAGGTGTGTTACTCGTAGCTCCGAATAAAGATTTCTGTTCGCCGGGCTTGGCAGCAGTATTACCAAAGATACTACTACTACCGCCGCTTAGAGTTGAACCAGAAGAACCAGTGTTTCCGCCTGTCGTCCCGAAAGAAAAGGTAGGCTTGCTTGTTGACGGGGCACCAGACGAGGCTGTAGGGGTAGCAGATGTGCCAAACAATCCACCGGTGGCTGGTGCACTGGAGGTGGCTGCATTGTTGGATTGAGCAGAGGAGCTCGGGGCGCCGAAGGAAAAGGACATGGTGCGGTTTCGTCTCTTCGGCAGGTATGGAACAAGGTTTCGCGGGCGCGCCTGCGAAGCAAGGGTGAAGATGCGATGAACCGATGCCTATCAGTGGTCGACACTCATTCCCTAGAGCGCGCTGCTAGGGATACAGCGAGTGGAAGGAAAACAAACAGTGTGCCGGACAACGGACACGGACAGGAAGCCTATTAAATGCCGGCCTTGCGCGTGAAACCTTCGTAAAACAGTGGCTGCCCGTAAAGAGAGGCAATCTTGCGAAGTAGGAGGTCAAGACAGAGATGGAAGAAAAACCTTCTCTATTCAACGCCCAATACACTCTTCACCTGAGAAAATGTCAAATGTCAGCCACGACCGTCCAACTTTTGCGCGACAAGCTCCCCTGGGCCACTGCCTAATTGAGTAAAGCACCTGGTACCTAAGTACCTAAGTACCTCCTGCCCCGAGCTCATATCCATATCGCTCCACCTTTAAAAACAGTTGATGTCAGGTGGCTCCGGCCGTTAAACTGACATTGGATCCAAGGTTTGTTCCAATGTGAAGATTTGGTGAGACGCAGTGCCCTCAGCAGCGTGGTCCGTGCTCGTCCCTGCACCTTATGAGATTGAGTGGTATTAGGTGTGCAATTAGCTAGAAGGCTAACGTCCATTGATACAGTCTTCTTAGTCTCCACTGTCAATGTACCCAGTAACAGTTAGTGCTCGACATCACATGATTGGATGGAAATGAGAGTTTCCATTTTTCTTTTACCCAGATTGGCAAGGTGCATGCATGGTAGATGGTAGGTGCTCAAGGTAAGGCAACCTTACAAGGTGGCGCCCAGCACAACCCCGGCACTCTAACCTCTGTTAGAGTTTACTAACTTGGTCTAGTTGTGGATGGTGTCCTGTCGTGTCTTGACTTGGCAGGTAAGCAGGAGGGGCGAGGGTAAAAACATCAATGTCTTTTGTAGCCTGAGATGGTCTCGTCTGGAGTCTAGACTAGTCTAGAGTCACCTACCTTGGCGATCTATCAGCCATACTCCCTACTACCTACACCTCCTGTCTTCCAGCTTCACCAAGGATTACAGTCTTCGATCAGCCAACTCCAATCTCGATCTTGACATTTGATGCGACGGGGGGTAAGGATAGCTGACCCATAATTGCATAGCTGCACTGGTCTCTGGACGATAGGCTTGGATCCAACCGGACTTGAGAGCTGACATCTCGCTTTCAACAACTTTCCCCTGCGAGCGAGTCGAACGTCTTGTCTACCCCTCAAAACGTACCATCCATCCCGTACTTGTGGCACCACCCCCGGCCGTGGCTACTAAATCTCGAAACCTAATAACGCCGTTCTCCCATTCCATGCGCGTATTACCGGTCCTCCATTGTTAACACAACATCTCGGGCTCGGTTTCTTAAACACCACGCTTCCAGTATGTCTCGAGAGCGCCGAGGTTCCTCTACCCTTGAGGCCCCCGAAAGGACGGGGATTGAAGACCCCGGAGCCCACGAGCTTGGTAAGTACGTCTGCCTTCTCCGCAAGCTTTCTCTGGTGTTCTAACACGTGTTGTTACAGAATGCACAGAGTCATCCGACGACCACTTTTCTGATGCGCAATCCACTCCGGGGAATAGTGACCGGGCGGTGTCCCCAATTCCCAAAACTCGAATCGAAAAAATAGACGATGAACCATCTTATGGTGAAGTTCCTGGCACTGAGGCCTATAGTAAGAGGTCGAAAGACGCCTCGCCGGACGAAATTGCTATTATCCCGGATGATCAGTCCGTATCTAAAGCCGCCGGGAACAGCCCTACGTCTAGAGACATGCCCGCCCCGGTCCCTAAGACAGTAGTCGACGAGACGGAAGACGCTCCCGGGTCGTCCACTCACCACTTCCACGAGCACGTGCACCGAGCAGATGCGGCACCGGACTTCGTCCGGAAGCCAGATGGGACTGGTGAGGCAAACCCCATCCCGCCTCCGCTCGATGCCACTATGCAAGACACCGGTACGGCTACCAAGTCCTCTTAAAATCCACAATGCCATTGACCGTGCCCCTCGTAGATGACACGGATGTCAATCCTGCTTTAGAATCCCCGTCGGTGCTTGGGCGGAGGGAATCTTCAACGGCCAGATCAATCAAGAGTCTTGACAACGAGGAGACGAATGATGATCATGATGATGGGTTTGGAGATGATTTTGACGAATTCGAAGAAGGCGACGAGGATGCTGATTTCGGCGATTTTGATGATGGGTTTCAACAGGCCGAGGCACCTACAGCCGCTCAACCACTAGCAAGCCAGCCTCAGGCATCTTCACCCTCGTTTGTATGTCGTTTACCTTCGCTAGGTAGCCATCCCATATTTATGCTGACGGACATACGCTTTAAGCCTATATTAGATCTTGATGGGCTTGACTCTGAAGACATCTTGGCGGCATCGGAACCTTACTTGAATGCCTTATATCCAACTGAAGTACTCGATATTCCGCCTCTGCCTTCGCCCCCAAACGACAATCCCATATTTTTTAACCCCAGGAGCGCATCGTTATGGTCTCAATTAGCCGCACCTCCGCCTCTCCAACCTCCCGACTGGATCCGTTCTCGCATTAGGAGGCTTTTCTTGGTGTCTCTGGGCGTCCCCGTAGATCTCGACGAGATATTGCCTGCTTCCAAGCAGAAGAAACTTGTTCTCCCATCACTTCATCGGATCACATCCAACGGTTCACTCCGTACGTCTACAGAATCGCGTTCCGTTTCCCGGCTGCGAAAACCAGGACTCAATGGATCATCGGTCTCTGTTGATTCTCAGGGCAAGGAAAAGTCCAGGTCTGGCTCGAAAGCCCGGAAGGCGTCGCCCGAAGCTCCAGAATTCGACCTGGTTGCAGCGAGGCAGCTGTGTGCCACTACGGACGAGGCGCTCAGGGGGATGACGGATATTGAACTACAACAGCACGTGCGAAAGCTAAAAGCAATGGAGGTGTTGGCAAATGAGGTGCATGAATATTGGAAGAAGCGGACGGATGCAAAAATCGGCGACAGGGAAGCCTTCGAGGGCGTCATAGAGAACCTCGTAAAGCACGCGAGAAAGACGAGAAAATGAATCACCTACACTTACGCTAGCACATATTATAATGATAACCTAATACTCCCAAAGCAGAAGGGTATAATATATTTCAGTTGCAATTCCGTATCTGACATGCTTGATCTCACTTGTTCGTCGGGAACGGGCCCATGACATGCGTTATCCCGTAGTCACTGCATATAGGTGTACCTAGTTGCTATATTTTGTCCTGATAGCCGGCAACCTTATTCCCTACGTCCGGTAATACCTACTTTCTTTTTATTTCACTTAATATACGTCGTATTTGCGCCGGTAGCGAACCGATCTCTTCCGCCAGCAACTGCTGACTTCGAGCCTCTCGGCGGTAAACGATTCAAGAGAGAGGGAGAGAGGAAGAGACCCATCTTATACCCTATTAATCCTACCTCTTTACATTGAAAGCTTCGATCAGTAGCCTAGACCCAGCTTCGTTAGTCACACAACTTTCTCAACTCCCACTATTTTCGTCCTGAGATAATGTGATATATATATACCCCGCAGCCCTCATCAAAATCATAATAGCGTGATTGATTTCTTCGTTAGCCCGAGTACCTAGTCCCGCCGATAGATGTACTCGTAAGTGTAAATACGAAACGCTAACGACGTCAAGAGAAACACGGCTCCTTGGTCTAGAGGTATGATTCTCGCTTTGGGTTTATTCGAAAAATCCAAACAATCCAACTCCACTAAAGAAGAGGAGAAGGAAAAGACTGCGAGAGGCCCCGGGTTCGAATCCCGGAGGAGCCCGGGAAACGACGACATCGTGACAATTTTTTTTGTAGTCTTAGTTTTTGATATTGTTAGGTAAGGTAGTTATAGAGGCAAACTAGAGGTATGTCTTACACATCGTGTTCTGGTTAGCTTGGCCGAGTTGGTTAAGGCGGTAGACTTAAGCTCTACTGACGAAAGTCTCGTGCGTTCGAGTCGCACAGCTAACAGTAATGTGATGTATTTTTTTTCTATGATTTTTGTTTAATTTTTTTTTCCATAGTAAACTACTGGTAAATACTTGATGATATGCGTATGGTCTAATTATTTAAAACATCAAGAAATATAGCTAAGTTCATCCTTAACATAACACAACGTAAGGCGTATAATGTCTCCTTTATGTAAATCCTGGCCGCTTGGGGGACAACGATTTTAGATATTGTGTATAAATCAGGAAACTGATGTCTTATGGCTAGCAGCGATAGATACCATCTCTTGTCTGGAGAGTTTGACCGTGGTCCATGGTAGGAGAATCTATTTACCCTTTGAAAATGTGGGATGTGCTCACTGTCTACATCTGAATAAGATTCCTTATGAAACCCAAGAGATAGACAATCCAGGCGAAAGATGTAATGCGGTACTATCATCCGCGACAGCCCCGCTGTGCTGTGGTGTCAGCTCTGTTGCTTAGTCCGTACTCTGTTTGCTAAAGTAGAGAACATTGCGTCCTCCATTTTCCTTGTATATGGTAGGTAAGTAAGTATGGACCAAAGACAGGATATATCATCTACAAAAGGGATGAGTGTGACGATCTCGGGGTGCCTAATCCTGATGATTATCTGGTTTGTCACAGAAGCGATCAGCCTCGGGGAAATATACACATATCTGGGATAGCTGCAACTGGACGTCTCTGGTGACGACAATGCCATCTATGTCCTGAAAACCTCGTCCAGTTCCCAGGTACCAGTTGGGATGAGTAGGAAGGCCTAAATATTGCCGGAAAGTTTATGAGCCCTTGGACTATAACACATTTGTGTGAGAATAGCCCTTCCAACCTATCTAGGCGTCTACCTCCTGCATAGAGACTGCCAAACTAGCAAGTCTCACTATGCTCGGTTTGAAGGTGTGGACATCTGAGGAGAAATAGGGGTTACAGTTGTAACTCTGGCCACTTTATTTATGACTTATTTTGAAGGTATAGATTTAACGAATACTGTAGGTTAGTTGATTCAAGGTAGTTTAACTATATATAGAGGTAGATGGCCGTCATCTTTTGCATCCCCGAGGTGGACTGACTGCTCGGGGAGAATACTCGACACCACCAAGCGAGACGGAATCGGGGATATCGACTCCTTCTCAGAAGTAAGTAGACCGGGTAAGAGAAGCTGATGAACCTGCAAATTCAGATGGTATAGCCAATATTGGGCTCTAAACAGGCAGTTCGATAGAGAATTCTAAACAGACGTTGGTGATCATCTACGAGTACACAGGACCGTTGTAAATGCAAGTACTAAATATCCTACGCGGACAAAATGTAAGCGGGAGCATATGCAAATGGTTTCGGCTCAGCTAAAAGCTCAACAGGAAGAGTTATCACTCTATACAAATGATGAGAATCGATTCTAAAGTGGTGCTCGTCCCTTTTAAGTTCCTATTAAATGCCAACCTACTCGTACACGTAGGAAATGTTGGTAATTTTTGGAAGAACCAAATCGTCAACACACAATGACACACTACGAGATCAATTGCGCAAATAATACCAAGCCTTTTGCGGCTAGCCAAACGTAAGCTTGCTTAGTACGTCCACAATAGGTAACACTACAGGGTCTTACCTAGCGCCAACCACAAACCAGCGACCCGATTGAGCCACTAGCATAAACGCCAAGGATGTCTTCTTTACCGCCTTGCATTTCGGGATGGTTTACAAGGCGGTCAGTTCTCTTGTCGGCGATTTTGCCGGAAGAAAAAAAAAAGTGCCCCTCTACCCTTGTCAGTAGTGAGCTTCACTATCCATTCCCGGTGTAATAGAACTGCGTATAAGTCGACATAAACACCAATTGATGCAACACTTGTCGCTCTTAACATTAACCTCAAAATACAAGCGCTAGTTACCAAATTGCAGTTTTGATAGTACCGAAATATGGGTGGAAAACGTAAGCGCAGCGCCAACAAGGCGAGCGATCAGAATGGCCAGCCAACTGAGAAACGACCAAAAACCGAAGAAACCAACACCGACAAGCCTGAAACGAAGACTATTGTCCTCGATAAGTCGCCGTTTCCCGAAGAAAATACGGGAGAAAACCGCAAGCGCGAGGCCGCGATATACGAACTACTGGGGAGCCTGGATGGCGACGAGCGCCTTGCAGCCGCTGACGCATTAATAACAGCTCTCTTGGCTGGTACAGAAGTAGCATTGAAGAGACATATTGGGAAGCGACTCTTCCGGGGTCTTGCAAGCTCTCGCAATGCCTCCCGATTAGGATTTAGTCTTGTGCTTTCCGAAATACTGCGACAATTGTTCGGCCCCTCCGAGCTGGCGAAAACCAAGTTCGCTGGGCTAACATTCGACAACGTGCTCGAGCTTTTGGTCGAAGCAACCAATGCCGGCGGAAGTGCGCCAGGCCAGGAAGAGCGCAATTATTACTTCGGACGTCTGTTCGGATTACAAGCCTTCGTTGAAGCCAAGATTCTATTCTCAGAGGAGTCCAGATGGCCCAAAGTACTGGAATTGCTTCTACAAATGATACAGAAAAAGGTGTGGATTCGATCGCACTGCTGCTGGGTGATAGTCGAGTGTCTACCTCAAATGGGCCAAGCAGGAGCGGAAGCGGCACTTCAAACATTCTCCGATTTGGGATTGGGGAAATCCGCCGAGGGCGTTGGTATTTGGCTACGCGCTCGGAGTTGCTACCCAAATATGAAAGTCCCGTCAAAGCCTTGGTCCGACCCCTTGAGCGCAGTGTCCCTGCCCGAGGTTTCCAGGGTGCTCAAAGAAAATGTCGCCAACGACACCGGCGAAGACAAGGCTGTCGTACAGCAGAAACAGGGCAACTGGACGGCCCAGCTCCATTTCGTGTGGGATCTAATTCTGGAAAATTTGTTGAAATCGGACGCTGCGGACAAAAGGCCCAACAAAGAACAAATCGGGCTTTTCTGGACAACTGTAGTCGATGGTGAGTGATACTTCAACTTTGGTCTGTCAAGGAACCATGGCTAACGCAACGCATGTGTAGATGGCCTGTTTTCTAAAAGTGCATCTGACCCTCAGAAGTTCCGCGGCTTCATGATATTCCAGAAATATCTACATGCCTTTGCCTCCGTCGACCAATCTCTCGTTAGAGAACTCTTTACACGCAACTTGATGAAGTGTCTGATAAACCAAGCCGCCAAGGAGGATCGCTATCTCCACCGCGCCGCTTTGAAGACTTTAAACACCATAGAGAAAACAGTTGAAGCTCAGCCTGAGTTACTGATGCCCGTCCTAAAAGAGCTCATGGGAAAACACGGAGTATACGAATTCGACCGCCTCACTACATCGAGCACGGTTGGGGGCATATTGCAGTCGGTTACGCCCGCCAATGTAAAAAAAGTCCTCAAGTTCCTCCGTGAGCCTGTTTTGAGCCTGAAAAAGTCGGTTGTTCTCCCCGCCGTCTTGACCTCTCCGTTTCTGACGTTTTCTAGGACACCCGAGGAGGCTGAAACTCTTAGACGGGTCTATGCCGAATACGTTTACAAGATAACAGCTCAGGCGAAGACAACTCCCACTGATCCCGAAGCTACCGATAGTAAGAGTGTTCTCGAGGTCGGCATCAAGGAGTTGGCGTCATGCGCCTACTCACTCCAAGAAGACTTTGTGCCGGAGCTCTCGGAGAAGGAGAGGGAAGTGTTCCGTCACCGACTAAGCGCCGCCTTCTCCAAAGTGTCAAAGCAAGAGAAAAACGCGGAATATATCTGTGAAGCTGTGCGAGCAGTAAAGCCGACGGCGGTCGTAATGAGCGATGAGATCCAGAGTCAAAGCAAAGATGCCCTGAAAGCCATGGCAAAATTGCTTAAGAAGTCCAATAAAGCGGACGACAACTCCAGCGCTATTTTCTCGGGACTCGCGCTTCTCTATGCAACGACGCTTCTACAGCTGTATAATGGCGTGCCGGATGCACTTAATATCCTGGAAGATCTCCGTACGTGCTCCGAGAAGACGAAGGAGAAGGAAGCGAGTGCGTCGGTATTCTTAGTCGATATCCTCCTGGCTTTAGTGTCCCAAAAGTCGGGTATGTTGCGGCAGATATGCGAGCAGGTCTTTGAAGCCTTTGCACCACTGTTATCGGCCGAAGCTCTCAAGCTCCTCACGGATCCTCTATCTGCCGAGGAAAACCTACGGGGACACCAGGCCCTGTTTGAGAACGAAGATGTTGAGATGGCCGATGGTAGCGAGTCAGAGATTGGGAGCGATAGCGAAGGTGGAGACGAGGACGAGGGAGCCGAGTTGGGCTCTGACGTCGAGTTTGCGAACCTAGACGAGGAAGACGTTCCGTCGGACGCAGATGAAGACAACAATGATGACGAGGAAGGGAAAGGTGACGACGAAGACGGCGAGGCAGAAGATCCGGAACTAGCCGCACTGGACGACGCCCTCGCCAAAGTGCTCAATAGTCATCGTCTTGACCAAGATGATGAGGCCGAATCATCGGACAACGATTCAGACATGACAGACTCGGAGATGATGGCGCTAGACGAGAAGCTCGTCAATGTCTTTAAGTATCGGGCCAAGAGCAACAATCGAAAGAATGAAAAAGACGCCAAAGAATCTGTCATTCTTTTCAAGCACCGCGCACTGGATCTTCTCAACATCTACGTCAAACAGGAGGCATCAAACGCCTTAGCCTTCGGCCTACTACTCCCCCTACTCCAACTTATCCGGACTACCCCTACCAAGGCGCTCTCGAACAAAGCGATGAACCTCCTGACAGATTACGCCAGGGTATCCAAAAAGGCGCGGGCGAAGAACATGGAAATCGACGCGGATGCTCAATTCAAACTAC